CGCCGCCGCCGCCAACCGCGACACGCGCCACAGCCTCCCGCCGCGGCCTCCTCAGTTCGCCTGCGCCGTAGGAGGTAAGTCCCGTTGACCGGGGTCAGTCACCCGAGGAATGGCCCCTGTCACCGCCTCGCCTTGCCCCGTGCCTCTCCGGACTGCCCCTGGTGCCCTCACCTGCCCCCGCTCAGCCAGGATTAGGGTTGCTTCTCCCGCTTGTCCTCAGCCAAGCTTCGCAGCGCGCAGGGTGAGGGAAACCTTGCCGCCTGCGCCGTAGGAGGTAAGTCCCGTTGACCGGGGTCAGTCACCCGAGGAATGGCCCCTGTCACCGCCTCGCCTTGCCCCGTGCCTCTCCGGACTGCCCCTGGTGCCCTCACCTGCCCCCGCTCAGCCAGGATTAGGGTTGCTTCTCCCGCTTGTCCTCAGCCAAGCTTCGCAGCGCGCAGGGTGAGGGAAACCTTGCCTCTTCGCGGGTGGCTGCTGACTTTGGAAGGGCAGAGAGGAGGCTTGTGTGTCGTTATTTTCATCTCCTCTTTGCTCCTTGGTAAAAACCCTTTTGGAAACATTTGAGTGTTTCTTTTCCGAGCGGGGGGGAGGAGATCTCGTTCCTGTCCCTTTTGTTGTTAGCCTTGGGAAGTCACTGAGTTTGAAAGGGAAAGCAAAAGGCCCGGCCCAGCCCAGCCCATAGCACCTCCAGTTCTGTTGTTTGGTTCCGTTATTATTTGCTGCCCAGCCAAAGGGAATATATTCTCCTCCTTCTCACTTACAAGGGTATGTTTAGGTAATTTATATGATCGTTTGCTATTTGATATGTAGGCTTGGCAGAACTAATTTTATTTTTCTATTTTTGTCAACTGCTTTGTTTTTAAGCATTTTTCTATTTGTTCATCAAGTTAAATTTTCACAGGAGTATGGAATTATAGGAGTAATCCTCTGGAATTAGACAATAATTACTTTATGATGGTAGATATTGAGATCCAGAAAATTAAAGCTTTATAACCATTAAAACACAAATACCAACATCACATATTAGTTTCATGTAGGCATTTTATTTTCATTTTAATAGGTTCTTGTAGCATTTTTCTTTTTCTACCTGTACATTTCAGTTATCAATGTGTTCCTTGGTTTGTGTGTTTATAGTGAACTCAACATTTACTGATAAAACCTGATCCTTCCAAGTCTATTGATATGCCATTTGACTTATTTTGTAGCTGTAGATGTGTGTGACTGCTCTTTCTAACTCCCAGAAATGTTTTACTCACTGCATTAAAAAGCTGTGATTTATCACATTGATGGTATGGGGTGGTGGTAACTTTTTTCTGACTTTCTCTGGGACAAATTTTGATGGAAATGTTGACTAGAGAATAATGTACTTGGTTTGCATCCTCCATACCTCAAAATTAGATGGTAGAGAAAATTGTCTGGAGATGCTCATAAAAACTGATTGAGGCTGGAGTAGAAAGCTTTGTTAAGAGAATGCTACATCTATCTTACTCGTATTTTGGCTCCGTAGACCAGGATTTTTCATTGTATTTTGTAAGTAATGATTCTATCTTGTGGTTTTTTTTTTTTTTTTTTTATTGTAGGAAGAGCCTGCATACTCTGGTGTGAAGAGAATGGCTGTGACTTTAGAACAGGCCCAGAGGGTGGGCTATATACTTCTGAAAGCACTCCTGAGGTTCAGCTTCATGGTTGCCAATAACCTGGTTGCTATTTCATCCTACGTCTTGTATTTAATTATACTGCAGCCTCTTCGACTGTTGGACAGTAAGCGGTTCTGGTATATCGAAGGAGTATTATTTAAATGGCTTTTAGCTATGGTGGCTTCCTGGGGCTGGTGGGCAGGATATACAGGTAAGTGTGTTTTAATACTTAACAAGTACCAGTATAGTAATTAAAAATGAACTTTGAAATAGGGAATAATAGTGATGTATATGAATACAATTAGATGGTTTTTCCAGGACTCTATTGAAAACATGCACTGTATTCCTGGGTGGCAACATAATTGAATCTAATATTTATCATATGAAAACTGATCTTCCAAAAATATCTTAACATGATACATAATATGTTTGGATTCACAAGAACATGTTAGTACCAAGAACCTCTGTTGCTTCAATTGGTATTTTGCTATGTTTGAGAGATCCATGGCTTTAGCAGTGCTATTTTTTTTTCAAGGCCCTAGATTATCTTGTTTTGATCTGTGGAATAGTAGCACCTCTGAAAAGCATTTATTTCTGTTGTGTATGAAGATGAAATATCTACACTTTGAACAAACCTCCTTTAAATAAGCATGCAGTACATATCTCCAGATCACCTCCACCTGCACTATCAATACTCAAGAGTAAAGCATATGCAATGAAGTTCATCTCTGAAGAGTAACTCTTGTATTCCATATCAGTTGCATCTGGAATTTTCTCTCTTGCTGCTTCTAAAAGAAGGGAACATCTCCTCCTGGATATAGATGGAAAAATAGGGACACATCTCTAGCTCTTTAATGGTAACTGAAGACCTACACATAGAAAAGTTTTGAATATAAGGTTTTATATCCTGCATGTATTAACTTTTAATTATTGTTGAACTTCTTTTTTGCCTTTAGACTTTGTAGACTTTTCAGGGTAAAAGACTGAGCTGTAATATTAAGGAAGGCTTTAGATGTGCCCTTGAATGTGATGACTTTTATCTTGGCTGCTGCATGCTGTGCAAGAAGAGAAACATCAACACTTTGCGCTCAGACTTTGGAAGCGGGGAGGGGGATAGAGTAAATGTGTCTAGAGAGCTATGTGAACGACCTCCCTCCGCCCCCAATTGTCTATCTCCTTCTTTCCTGTCCAGGATGCTTCTACAGGTCTTTTCCATGTATAAAAAGACAGCGTACAGTTCTAATGGTGTCTGGCCAGACTCCTAGTTTGTCAGGATTCTCAGTGTTGACCCAGTTGGATCTTTTTCTTCCCAGAAAAACACTGATTAGGCTACAGGAGCCTTTTGGTCCCTTGTGCTGTGTCTTTTCAAGATGCACATGTTCTAGGTGAGCTTCTGTTTCTTCTTGAAGAGGTAGTAGTGGCAGCAAAAACAATTTCCAGTGTGTGAAGATAGGATTGTCATAAATGTTGCACTGCTTTAAAACTGTCTTGCCTGGTACAATAGTGATAGAAATGTAGCTGTGTTAGTCTGGTGTAGCTGAAACAAAATACAGGATTATGTAGCACTTTAAAGACTAACAAGATGGTTTATTAGATGATGAGCTTTCGTGGGCCAGACCCACTTCCTCAGATCAAATTATTTTCTTCCATTATTTGATCTGAGGAAGTGGGTCTGGCCCACGAAAGCTCATCATCTAATAAACCATCTTGTTAGTCCTGTATTTTGCCTGGTACAGTGTGAGCTTTTTCAGATGTGCTAGTCTTTTTAATCTTTGTATGTTTACATTTGCTTATTAAAAGAAGTCCACATAGTATTTGCAGTGGCAGGAACTCTTTAGATGTCCACTTCGCTTTCTAATCACAATAAAGGAAAGCTCTTTCTGCTTGAAAAGAGGGACCCTTATGCTATTGAGAGTGTGTGTAAATTGGATGTGAAAGATATCAGCATAATGGTAAGGCAACATTCATTCAGAATATGACCCTGGGGATAGTATGTGCAGATGGAAAATTCTAGCTTAAAATTTAAGCTGTTGTCCCATGACTATATGATTGTCAGTGAATTTTGAAGGCAGTTTCTTTGGGATCTATTCCCTACTGACTGCAGAACTGTGTGGTTTCTTTTGCCTCTTGCGTGAAAAATGGTTTCAACATGATCTGCATACATCTGCTAATTGGTGTGGCATTTTGCTAATTTGAACAACTTTGTTTTTATTGAAAAACTCCTTAGAATGTATATTTAAAGTTAACTTGAACCAGAGAATTAACATTAGAGTTGAAGTGTTTTCTTGAATGATTTTAAGGCCAGGAGACCCTACTTGCCACTTGCGGAAGAAAGTCTTTAAATCAGATACTGCGTCCTCATAAAATAAGAGAATACACTTAAGTAGGTGTGGATGAAACTATATATATATATATATATATATATATATATAATTTTGGCGGTGACATACATGGCCAGGCCCTGCCCCCCTTCAGCTCCCACCATGGGGCTCAGCTGACTTCTGTGCTGCTCAGCCAGGCCACCGCGGGGGAGCAAGCAGCCGTTTGGGCTCCCCCGCGGCAGCCTGGCAGAGTGGTGCAGAAGTCAGCTGAGCACCACGATGGGAGGCGAAGGGGGGCGGGGCGGTGATGTACACAGCCAGGCCCCACTCCTTGGCCATGTACATCACCATCCCACCCCTCCCTTCCCTTCCCGCCGTGACACTCAGCTGACTTCTGCGCTGCTCAGCCGGGCCACCACGTGGGAGCAAGTGGTGCAAGCAAGATGCCAGGAGCAATTTAAAGCACAGTAGGAGTTGAGCAGCTTGCTTTCCCACCCACCCCCTGGCTCCTGCTGCCTTTTAAATTGTAGAACGGTGTTTGGCCCTGCACCTGGTGCGAGCTGGGACTGAGCTGGGCTGCTTATTGACTAATCAAGTAGTTGATAGAATTTTTATTGCATACAGGAAACCCCAGCGTTACAATCGCCCAAGTTGCCCTTCCTCCTCCCCTCCCCCAGCACTTATGACAATTTTTGTAAGTGAGGAAGGGGCCAAAACCCCCTGACTCTGTCCTCGGCTCACATTTACCACAGCGCCTATCTTAAATGTGAGTTCGAGTTACAGTGCCCCCAGGAATTGATCGTGTCGCAAGTCGGGGGCCGCCTGTACTTGATTAAGTTAAATACCCATCTCTTAACATCCCTAATCTGGAGTACATGCTTATAATGTGGTCACACTGGATCCTACTTTTTTTATAAGATATGTGGTGGATGTACTACTTTTGTACAGAATTCAATTGCTACTCTTGCTATTTTACAGTGAAGAGATTGGCATTGGGTATTAGCTGATAATCTGGTATAGAATATTTCTATCTTTTTCAGTGTCCAGACCTAGGACTAAGGTTAGTTACTTAGAAATATATTGGAACTAGTATGCACTAGCTTCAGTGCATGCAAACAGAAGATAAGTAGTAATGATAGCTGTATTGTACACCTGCAAATTAAGGTGCATCTATTGACAAAACGAGAAAATTTTCACTTTGACCAGTATAGAATCTAAGCTATGGATATCTTTCTGAGAAACCTTTCTTATGAATTAAAGATCAAATATAGGTGGCATCTTACATAGATGTGGGAATAAAGAACTCTTATATGCCCTCTCTTGGCTAATTTTATGTATAACTAAATTAAGACTGATGGCAGTGTGGTACAATGAAGGGCAGTGGGTATTATTTTTTTTAACCTGAAAATATTCTGCTTCAGGTGAAAGAGGTGACTTCTTTCTGCCCTCTATGGCAATCACAAGGGATGTTAAATGGGGGGAGGTCTGAGCTTCCGGACCTGGCGTAAGCTGGAACCGAGCAGGGCTGCCTGGCTCTTTTCTAATACACTTTAAATGCAGAGCTGCAGCGGGGGTAGGTCCAGAACCCAGTGCAAGCCAGGACTGAGCTGGGCTGCTGGTCAGGCTGCTAAAAAATTTACTGGCAAGAGGTGAGAGGCAAATGCATGTAGTCTATATAGTAGTGGTTCCCAATCATTTTGATACCAGGGACCAGTAAACCCATTCACAAGCCTTTGTAGGACTAGTAACATTTATTTTCATATTCATTAAGCAAATGATGAATATGCAAATTGTTTCTGGTCCTCCTGAAGTCCCCAGTGCCAATAGGAGTGGGTCTGGTCGACTGCCAAGGGTGGTTTCCCGATCCCAACCACGAAGTATCTACTTCGCCTCCATTTGGGACCGGTAAGGTTAGAAGGTCCCTCTCAGGCTTGCTGGGTGACTTGGGGCATATGGACCCTGGAGGTTGGGTGAGTAGCCCCGTGTCTTCTCCCCCAGTCACGCCTGTGTTCGTGGGTGAAACCGCGGGCTGCATTTTGCCCCGGGCGTGTGGCTGGCCCTACCCGTCTGGTGAGTTGTTCTGCCCCTACTCCTGGCCCCAATTCCAGCAGGTTTATCGGCCAGCGCCAGCTCCCCCGGCTGTGTCCGGTGCTGGGCATTCTGCATTGGTGTGCATGGCGCCTGGCCTTCTCCCTGGGTCCTAGCGCCTACTGGATCTAGCCCCACCACCCAGGTGCATACCTGGCAGAGACACCGCGGCGGCGGGCTCTCTCCCAAGAATTGTGCGTGAATTTTTTTTTTGAGGATCTTTTTTTTTTTTTTTTTTTTTTTTTCCTAAGGACTAGTACTGGGCTGCGGATTACACTTCGGGAAATGCTGTTACGTATCACTAACCGATAAGCTTTTTCCTCCATCCCTACGTGCAGGGTGGAGGAAAAATATAAATTGTATCATAGTCTATTTTTTAAAACCAAATTTAGTTATTTTAAAAGTTTGATGACCAAACAAATTATGTATTTAAAATATACTGATATACCTAGTAGTTAGAACAAGTAAAAAGGAAGTCAGGATTACTAGGTTCTCTACCACTTAATTGGTATGTAACCATGGGAAAAGCATTTATCCTCTGTGTATCAGTTGGATACACCTGCGAATAATTATATACTAGCATGCAGTCTGATATATACCGTATATACCGGCGTACAAGACAACTTTTGACGTTAAAAAAAAATCCCCCAAAAATCGGGGGTCGTCTTATACGCCGGTTATACAGGCGGCGGGGCAGCCCAGGCGTGCCGGGGCTGTCCTGCTGCCGGGGCGTCCTCAGAGGCTTTGCTCCCGGTGTCCCTGGTCTGCTGGAGGCTGGCCCCCCGCCGCTGCTGCAGCTTTG